AGTGGACGGTCGACTGATGGCGACGAGCTAATTCAGACGGGAGAAAAACGAGCAAGGGCGAGGGTTCGGTTGCGGGCTGATAGAGCGTGATGAGGAGGCGAAGATGGTGATGTTGAGGTTAAACTGGAGTTAGTGAGTGAAGCGAAAGGAGAAAGATAGTGGAAAGGTTAGGCTGGCGAAGATACCGGAATAGCCCACGCTAAAAAAACTTGACGAAAATTTTGTAGTTACCTGTGACTAACGCGGTAGAAAAGAGCCGGAAATTTATGCATGCTTTCACATGACGATCTTAAATATTGTTTTTTATTGCAGACTGGAAAATTCCTCAAAATTTTAACCTAATTTCGTAAAAATTTGGTGAAGTATCATGTTTCTATACCGGTGGTTTATGAATCCGCCTTTATTATTTTGTTTTAGAAATTGAAATTGTATAGCAACATTTTACGAACTAAATTAAAAACTAAAACCGGATGCTCTCAAATCTTGCAAACGTTTTAAGGTTATCTTGGGCATCGCCAATCAAAGTTATCTGTTTATCAAAAACCTGTTTGTCATTATCGTCATAATCCACACATATATTTATTTTAACTTATAGTAAAATCTTACGAGAAAATTGGTAAAATTTTTCAAAAAATCAAAAATTTTAAAAGTACTTTTAATGTCATGCCTACCAAAAATACATTTTATACAGAAACAAAAGTTACATAGAATTTACTACTTTTTCAGTAATATTTAAAACTGACTCTCACACTTAAGGGTTTAAAAAAGTCCTAACTAAAAAAAATTTACATACAAAAATGTTCAAAAAATTACTCGAAAATAAAATAAAAAGTCACTAAAAATAGGATGAAAATGATTATTAAATCACAACTTCCATGGAAAAGTTGATTTTTTATTGAAATTATTGTTATCTGGTAGAATTTTTGAAAAAAGAAAAAAAGAAAATAATAGCAATATAAAAAACATATTTGAAAAAATAATTTTTATTTTTTGAAAAGGTAATGGTTAGTATGTTATTTATTAACTTCAGTAACGTGAAAGGAAATATTATTTTTGGTCTTTTTCCATACCGAAACTAATTTTCTATTAAAATTTTAATTAATTAACACTTTTCTCAAAAAAATAATACTCCTGATTATATGAAATTGAAAAAGAACACATTTCCAAAAGTTTTTTTTTTATCGAAATTATTATTATTTGGCAGAAATTTTCAAAAAAAAAAAAATTTTTGAAAACACTGAGTTTTATTTTTACCAAGAATACCATTTTGTACAGAAAGAGTAAATGGAAGTTAATACTTTTCAACGTTTTTCAAACTAATTGTGTCACTATTTGCTTTTGGATTAGAAAAATCAAAAATTAGAAAAATACAATTATAAAACACGTATTTGCAAAAATAATTTTTATTTTTTGAAAAAGGTAATGGTTAGTACGTTATTATTTACTAACTTCAGTAACGTAAAAGGAAATATTATTTTTGTTTTTTTTTCCATATCGAAATTAATTTTCCATATTTTTTTTATTTATTAACACTTTCCTGAAAAAATAATACTCCTGTTAATATTACAAGAACAAGAGCTTATTGCTGTCGTCAAAATTACAAAAATATATTATATTAAATTGAAAAGAACACATTTCCAAAAAAGTTGATTTTTTTATCGAAATTATTATTATTTGGTAGAAATTTTCAAAAAAATAAAAAATTTTGAAAACACTCTGAGTTTTATTTTTACCAAGAATACCATTTTGTACAGAAAGAGTAAATGGAAGTTAATACTTTTCAACGTTTTTCAAACTAATTGTGTAACTATTTGCTTTTGGGTTAGAAAAATCAAAAATTACAAAAATAGAATTATAAAAAAGGTATTTGCAAAAATATTTTTTATTTTTTGAAAAAGGTAATGGTTGGTACGTTATTTACTAACTTCAGTAACGTAAAAGGAAATATTATTTTTGTTTTTTTTTCCATATCTAAATTAATTTTCCATATTTTTTTATTTATTAACACTTTCCTGAAAAAATAATACTCCTGTTAATATTACAAGAACAAGAGCTTATTGCTGTCGTCAAAATTACGAAAATTTATTATATGAAATTGAAAAGAACACATTTCCAAAAAAGTTGATTTTTTTATCGAAATTATTATTATTTGGTAGAAATTTTCAAAAAAATAAAAAATTTTGAAAACACTCTGAGTTTTATTTTTACCAAGAATACCATTTTGTACAGAAAGAGTAAATGGAAGTTAATACTTTTCAACGTTTTTCAAACTAATTGTGTAACTATTTGCTTTTGAGTTAGAAAAATCAAAAATTACAAAAATAGAATTATAAAAAAGGTATTTGCAAAAATATTTTTTATTTTTTGAAAAAGGTAATGGTTGGTACGTTATTTACTAACTTCAGTAACGTAAAAGGAAATATTATTTTTGTTTTTTTTCCATATCTAAATTAATTTTCCATATTTTTTTATTTATTAACACTTTCCTGAAAAAATAATACTCCTGTTAATATTACAAGAACAAGAGCTTATTGCTGTCGTCAAAATTACGAAAATTTATTATATGAAATTGAAAAGAACACATTTCCAAAAAAGTTGATTTTTTTATCGAAATTATTATTATTTGGTAGATATTTTCAAAAAAATCAAAAATTTTGAAAAACACTCTGAGTTTTATTTTTACCAAGAATACCATTTTGTACAGAAATAGTAAATGGAAATTAATAGTTTTCAACGTTTTTCAAACTAATTGTGTCACTATTTGCTTTTGGGTTAGAAAAATCAAAAATTAGAAAAATAGAATTATAAAAAACGTATTTGCAAAAATAATTTTTATTTTTTGAAAAAGGTAATGGTTAGTACGTTATTATTTACTAACTTTAGTAACGTAAAAGGAAATATTGTTTTTGTTTTTTTTTCCATATCGAAATTAATTTTCCATATTTTTTTATTTATTACACTTTCCTAAAAAAATTATACTCCTGTTAATATTACAAGAACAAGAGCTTATTGCTGTCGTCAAAATTACGAAAATATATTATATGAAATTGAAAAGAACACATTTCCAAAAAAGTTGACTTTTTTATCGAAATTATTATTATTTGGTAGAAATTTTCAAAAAAATCAAAAATTTTGAAAACACTCTGAGTTTTATTTTTACCAAGAATACCATTTTGTACAGAAAGAGTAAATGGAAGTTAATACTTTTCAACGTTTTTCAAACTAATTGTGTCACTATTTGCTTTTGGATTAGTAAAATCAAAAATTAGCAAAATAGAATTATAAAAAACGTATTTGCAAAAATAATTTTTATTTTTTGAAAAAGGTAATGGTAAGTACGTTATTTATTAACCTCAGTAACGTAAAAGGAAATATTATTTTTGTATTTTTTTTCCATATCGAAATTAATTTTCCATATTTTTTTATTTATTAACACTTTCCTGAAAAAATAATACTCCTGTTAATATTACAAGAATAAGAGCTTATTGCTGTCGTCAAAATTACGAAAATATATTATATGGCATTGAAAAGAACACATTTCCAAAAAAGTTGACTTTTTTATCGAAATTATTATTATTTGGTAGAATTTTTCAAAAAAAATCAAAAATTTTGAAAACACAAAGTTCTGTTTTACCAAAATACCATTTTATACAGGAAGAGTACATGAAAGTTAATATTTTTAGACGTTTTTCAAACTAATTGTGTCACTACTTGCTTTTGGGTTAGAAAAATAAAAATTAGAAAAATGGAATTATAAAAAACATATCAGCAAAAATAATTTTAATTTTTTAAAATGGTAATGGTTAGTACGTTATTTACTAACGTTAGTAACGTAAAAGGAAGTATTATTTTTGTTTTTTTCCATACCGAAATTAATTTTCTATAAAATTTTTAATTATCACTTTCCTCAAAAAAATAATACTCCTGTTAATAATTACAAAAAAAAGGGGCTTTTTGCTGTCGTCAAAATTAGGAAAATAGATTATATGAAATTGAAAAAGAACACATTTCCAAAAAAGTTGATTTTGTTTTATCGAAATTATTATTATTTGGTAGAAATTTTCAAAAAAATAAAAAATTTTGAAAACACTGAGTTTTATTTTTATCAAGAACACCAGTTTGTACAGAAAGAGTACATGGAAGTTAATACTTTTCAACGTTTTTCAAACTAATTGTGTCGCTATTTGCTTTTGGGTTACAAAAATAAAAAATTAGAAAAACGCAAATATATAAAAACATAGGTATTTTCAAAAATTATTTTTATTTTTTAAAAAGTGAATGGTCAGTACGTTATTTATTAACTCCAGCAACGCAAAGGGAAATATTATTTTTGTTTTTTTCCATACCGAAATTAATTTTCTACAAAATTTTGAATCAATTAACACTTCCTCAAAAAAAATAATAATACGCACTAAAAAAGCTTTATTGTTGTTATCAATTTGGTTATGAGTTGAAATTCATAATTTTGATAGAAAGAAGGTACTCTTAAGATTGAAATTATTATTATTAGTAGTGATTAAAAACCGTTTCATCATTTTGTAAAATTACGAAAATAGATTATTTAAAACTGAAAAATATATAAATTTTCAATAAGTAACAGAAATTTCGACAAGTAACTAAAGATACAAATGTCATAAGAACTAAACAAGTAAAGTATGTACAAACTGTAAAAAAGTTGATTTTTGTATTCAAATTATTGTTTTCGAGAACTTAATTGCATATTCAATGTTTGTGCAGCCTTGACAAATGCAACTTCCTGCAATATTAGTAGTTTTTCAAAAAACGAAAATTTTGAAAAAACTTTTAAAATCGTGCTAATTAAAAACATAATTTTAATACTCTTTTAAGATGTTTTTTAACTAAGAAAAACAGAAATATAAACAACACGTTCTGAACAAGTTGTTTTCACAAATGTATTCATTTTTTTTTTTAATTCAAGATTCGTTACTTACTAATTTTTTCTTCATATAGAAATTCTTTCGGGTTCGTAAAACTTTGAATTGAATGCATAGTTCGTTCAAAAAAATAATATAACCTGGTAAAAATGAACTTTAATTTTGTTGCGAATTTGGTTTAGTTGTAAGAAAATCGTTCGCACGTTCGTAAAGTCTGATCTTTTCGTGTTTGTTCGCTTTGTAAGAAGTGATCAAATTTGGTGTTATCAGTTGTTATCAGTAAATGTGTGTCCCGTGCCGGTCGTCCGTGTTGAGGAAGGTTGCGCAGCGCTCCAGCACTCTGCCGGCACGCACGGGAGCAAGAATCCAAGCAAAGCAAAGCAAGCAGCATCGCTCGTAAATTACCGAACGGGGTTCAGTGGCAGCGTGAGTGGGTCAGGGCTGGCGCGGCGTCCCGACGCGCCCGCCTCCCACTCTGCGCTGCATGCGCCGGCCCATCACATTTAAGCGGCGCCCGTTCCCACCTCTGCTCATTCCCAGCGCGAGCGTACGCAAGGCATGTCAGGTCTCGATCCGACCGGCCTCTACTAACTAGTATTGTATAGTGCTCCGACGTTTCGTCAACAGTCCTCGTCAGTATCTCGCACTCTCGCAGCGCAATGGACGGCGGCAAACTCGACCCCACCGGGCAGTACTAGGGCGGACTAGAGTGTTGGTGAGCGGTGTGTGCTAGGACTGCCGGGATGAACGGCGGCAAGAGCCTGGACCCCACCGGGCTGTACTGATGTGGCACCGCGACGCAGGCGATGGAGGGCGCCCGGAGACGTCGAGCTGTCGGCGCAGGAGACTCCGGTAAGTCCAGTTCCTCTTCCGCGTGCTTTCCTCCGGTTGTTGACCCAAGTTTGGAGCCGTCGCCCACCGGCGCCCCCGCGCATATCGCACACCATCGAAATTCAAAACACGCCGCCCGTTCCCAAAACGCTCGGGGCGTTGACCCACAAACCCTCGGGACGTTAACCCACAAACGCCCTAAGGGGCAGCCTTGCGAAGGTCGCACCTTCCGTGACCCGATTCGACACCGGAGTTTATTGATCTTGCAGATTTGATTCGTTGACCTCTTTGGTTCGATGCTCCATCGGCTCTTTTTCCCCGATTCTTCTTCTTCGATGCAGATTCGCGATTAATTGCAGTTAGAATGTCGGCTGCTGGCATTTAGCGCTCGGGAGACAAAGGTCAAGAGTGGACGCGGGGGTTAGTGGTGATGATGATTGTGTGCGAAGAGACACAAATACGTTTCCGGATTGCGAACGTCAAGGCCGCCGTTCTAAAGCTTTAGGCTACGGCTAATCGCGATGGTTGCGACAGGTGGAAGAATGACCCCTTTTGATGGCATGCATCGAATGGCCTTTTTCCCTAATTGCGACCGGCGAGGTCGCTTTTTGCCCGATTTTCGCACTCCTCGCAAGGTCCCCGAATCACGGCCGAAACATTCGCCGCCCGCCATTCGACTTTTGATCGAACCCATTTTTAACACTGATCTTTGTTACAGATAGCATATCGCCTCTAAGTAAACAACACACTGCCACATAAGTTACCACCATACTCATTCATCTGGATGTATCAAGACTGATGTTTGTTGATTTTATTAATTATTAAGATATTGTTTTTTATTAAATTATATTAGACTAAGTTCCTCGTTCCACGTTCTTCTTAACTTGTTGTATATAAAAAAAATCATCTCCATGTATAGTTAAGCAATGCTTTTTTATATTCTTGGATGAATAAAATATTTTTTATTTAAATGTATACATAACCAGTGTTTGTAAACCACAACCATTTCCTCTTAGGATTTTCACACCAACGTCCCGTCTTTTTGGGTATTCCTCCTACGCGAACCACTCCGAGCGAGCTATTAAAGCACTCCTCGTTCCTCCTCCGAACAGATCTTTGAGGTGCATGTCGAAACCGCCAAGTTCAAGGTCCTCTCCATAATTTTATGCAAGGTTATGTTTTGTGGTCTCGGATGCGCCAGGTACTCGGAAAAACGCACCGTAAAAAACGAAAGTTATCTAGAAGGTCGTACCTTTTTTGTGGCAGGTTAGAGTGCTTAGTTTTCTCGGCTTTCGAGGTACCTACGTACGAATCATGCTAATAATCCGGTAAGACGAGAAACGCATTCTGCATAAACCAAGTCCGGTCCATTAGGTCTTCGCGGCATTTAATTTCGATGGAGGACGGCGAGATTCCTCGCCACTACTACTATATCATGGAAATGTGGAAAAGTGTATGGGTTTTTGAAAAGCACCTGTTGTCTTACAGGTTCTGTAAATTATTCGCTGCAATTAGCATACAGCGGATCCTTGACCTTTATTTGTTTTGACTGATTGAAAAAGTTCGAAATATTATGTCATTCGAAAGACAGGTACTGACCTAACCTTTACCGAGAGTCGAGAGTCCGTTAGCGCGAAAAGGCTCCTTCCTTAACAATCAATTGTGGAATTAATTGGATGTGGGAGAGAAGGTCTCTTGTGCTCCGCACCTGACCTCAAGCATGAAAAGCGAGGTTACAACTAATTTTCTATTGATATTAGATACAATTATTGCGAGAAATAGTCTAATCATTAACATGAACTTGCCGATTACGAACAAGGAATTTTTTGTGCGCTGCAAGGATGCAATGCTATTAAATCAGAGACCTTCGACTTCAATCAAAGATAACAACATCCAGCAATAAAAGCTTATCACGTTGCCATGCAAAAATTGAACGCGCTTAGAGCGCTCCGGCTAACCCGGCCAATTAAAAAATCTACTCTATAAACGGCTACAAAATCGACTAAAAAGCGACGAGACGACTATGACGCTTGACACATTGTGGATAACGAATCTGGAAATAGTAGCACGTTTCGTCCGCATTGTAGGAGACCACTTCTTCAATCCGGCAAGAAAATTGCAGCGGTGGTCTTTCGAACGCATTTACAACTAAATTAATTGGAACGAAGCTGACCGAACCGAGAGAGACGAAAAAGTCTATTCGGGAGATAGGTTATAGAAGACACGAAAAAAATTTTAAATAAATTAGAGGATGGAGAGAGTCAACAACCTATTATGCAGAAACTTGAATTGTTATTCGGCTTATTTCGTTGCAAATTTTAATTAGCTTCGACGTGGTGGCTCTGTCCACGCTGACTCGCTGGACTGAACGGGCGTACGATGATAAGCGAAACGTTTTATGCCTTTTTGTGCCGTTTTACGGATTTCATAAAGCTCAGCTTCGCCTTGCTTCACCGGCGATTATGCAGACGACTCGACGAATTATCTCCAGTATTCTAACAAAAACACGTACGTATAACACAAATTATGGCAATATAGCACTCACTAAAGTTATTATTTCCTGTATAAAATTTTCAAAAAAAAATTAAAAAAGTTCGTTAAGTTTCTATTTGTATTTATAAAAATCGAGTGATATGCAACAATGCAAGAATTAAATTTCCTTGCACCAATGCATTGTCAATTATGGAGTTCTTTGACATTTTATATTCGTATTCTGTAATCAGGTGATGACGATAAGTATTGGTATTTAGAGTTCTCTGTAAACGAAATTCAGGTTTTCATAACTACTTTAAAGTATAGGGATTATTTATGTGCGTGGCGTAAGTGTTAGCCAAGGGTAGCAATTATAATGATTAAGAGCTTAATAAAATCGTCTACATCTTGTCTCATTTTCATAAAAATTAACGCTACAACAATGTTGCAAGTAAGGATCATTTTCTTTATTGATATTAAAGAGCTGTGATATATTTAGTGAGAATGTTAAGTATGAGACATTTTTTGTGGTAATTTGAATGAGCAACTTAGAACACACATTCAAAAAAAGGGCTACAAATTTTTTTGTAATATGAGTTTACAGTCATCAAACTTTGCAGGTGAGTATTAAAAATTATGTATTTTAATAAAAAATTGGCCAAATATTACTTAGACTTCCCTCACCTTTACAGCACAGGATACATCCTATCCAACAAGTTCAAGTTTTTATAAAAGCTATAGAATTGGATATTGTGAAATTATTTTTTAACGTTAAAAAAAAATTCTTTGAAAGTTTCCAAAAACAAAATACCAACATCCTCAAGATCTTTTCCAATTGTTTCAAAGACAAAACAATAGGGGTCTCCGAGATTTTATCAAATTCTTTAAAAAATAAAACGCAAAGAGTCTCAAATATTTTTTCATTTTCTTAAAAAACACCAAACGTCCTCACAATTCTTTCAAACTCTTTAAAACTCAAAACGCTAAGGATTTCCTCGAGATTTTATCAAATTTTTAAACAAATACATCAAGCGTCCTCAGAATTCTTTCAAACCCTTTCAAAAACAGATTTCCGAGGTTTTCCAAATTATTTCAAAAATAAAATAGATCCTTTCACATTCGACCAAAAAAGACCTTAGGAGCCCTAAAATAATAAAGATAAAATACCAGGAGTCCGCGAGATTGCATCAAATTCTTTTACAAAGGGCGCTTAAGATTCTTTCATTTTCTTAAAAAACATGAAATTTCCTTTGAATTCTTTCAAAATCTTTCAAAAATAAAATATAAATAATATATAAGAAGATTCTTAAACAAACACTAAACATCCCAAAGATTCTTTCAAACTTTCAAACACAACGTACCAGGAATCTTCGAGATTTTATCAAATTCTTAAAAAAAAACATCAAGCGTCCTCAGAATTCTTTCAAACTCTTTCAAAAACAGATTTCCGAGGTTTTCCAAATTCTTTCAAAAATAAAATAGATTCTTTCACATTCGGCCAAAGAAGACCTTAGGAGACCTAAAATTCTTATAAACATAAAATACCAGGAGTCCGCGAGAGTTCATCAAATTCATTTAAAAAAGACACAAAGGGCGCTTAAGTTTCTTTCATATTCTTAGAAAACATGAAAATTCCTTAGAATTCTTTCAAACTCTTTCAAAAATAAAATATAAGGGGCTCCGAAGATTCTTAAACAAACACTAAACATCTCTAAGATTCTTTCAAACTGTATCCCACACAAAGTACCAGAGTCCTCGACATTTTATCAGATTCTTAAAAAAAACACCAAGCATCCTCAGAATTCTTTCAAAATCTTTCAAAAACAGATTTCCGAGGTTTTCCAAATTCTTTCAAAAATAAAATAGATTCTTTCACATTCGGCCAAAAAAGACCTTAGGAGCCCTAAAATTCTTATAAACATAAAATACCAGGAGTCCGCGAGAGTTCATCAAATTCTTTTAAAAAAGACACAAAGGGCCCTTAAGATTCTTTCATATTCTTAAAAAACATTAAATTTCCTTAGAATTCTTTCGAACTCTTTCAAAAATAAAATATAAGGGGCTCCGAAGATTCTTAAACAAACACTAAACATCCCAAAGATTCTTTCAAACTCTATCAAACACAAAGTACCAGGAGTTCTCGAGATTTGATCAAATTCTTAAAAAAAAAACATCAAGAGTCCCCAGAATTCTTTCAAACTCTTTCAAAAACAGATTTCCGAGGTTTTCCAAATTCTTTCAAAAATAAAATAGATTCTTTCACATTCGGTCAAAAAAGAACTTAGGAGCGCTGAAATTCTTATAAACTTAAAATACCAGGAATCCGCGAGATTGCATCAAATTCTTTTAAAAAAGACGCAAAAGGCCCTTAAGATTCTTTCATATTCTTAAAAAACATGAAATTTCCTTTGAATTCTTTCAAAATCTTCCAAAAATAAATTTCAAAATCTTTCAAAAATAAAATATAAGGGGCTCCGAAGATTCTTAAACAAACACTAAACATCCCTAAGATTCTTTCAAACTCTATCAAACTCAAACTCTTTCAAAAACAGATTTCCGAGGTTTTCCAAATTCTTTCAAAAACAGATTTCCCAGGTTTTCCAAACTCTTTCAAAAATAAAATAGATACTTTCACATTCGGCCAAAAAAGATCTTAGGAGCCCTAAAATTCTTATAAACATAAAATACCAGGAGTCCGCGAGAGTTCATCAAATTCTTTTAAAAAAGACACAAGGGGCCCTTAAGATTCCTTCATATTCTTAAAAAACATGGAACTTCCTTTGAATTCTTTCAAAATCTTTCAAAAATAAAATATAAGGGGCTCCGAAGATTCTTAAACAAACACTAAACATCTCTAAGATTCTTTCAAACTGTATCACACACAAAGTACCAGGAGTCCTCGAGATTTTATCAGATTCATAAAAAAAATACATCAAGCGTCCTCAGAATTCTTTCAAACTCTTTCAAAAACAGATTTCCGAGGTTTTCCAAATTCTGTCAAAAATAAAATAGATACCAAAAAAGAGCTTAGGGGCCCTAAAATTCTTATAAACATAAAATACCAGGAATCCGCGAAATTGCATCAAATTCTTTTAAAAAAGACACAAAAGGCCCTTAAGATTCTTTCATTTTCTTAAAAAACATGAAATTTCCTTAGAATTCATTCAAAATCTTTCAAAAATAAAATATAAAAGGTTCCGAAGATTCTTAAACAAACACTAAACATCCCTAAGATTCCTTCAAACTTTATCAAACACGAAGTACCAGGGGTCCTCGAGATTTTATCAAATTTTTAAAAAAAGAACATCAAGCGTCCTCAGAATTTTTTCAAACTCTTTCAAAAACAGATTTCCGAGGTTTTCCAATTTCTTTCAAAAATAAAATATATTCTTTCACATTCGGCCGAAAAAGATCTTAGGAGCCCTAAAATTACCAGGAGTCCATGAGATTGCATCAAATTCTTTAAAAAAGACACAAAGAGCCCCAAAGATTCTTTCATATTCTTAAAAA